AAGAGATAATTATCTGATTCACATATTCTGCTCTTAATGAAGCTGGTTAGCTTTTAGCTTAATATATTCTACAAATCTAAGGGACATTGTGGCTCAGTGGCTAAGACGCTGAGTTTGTTGATCAGAAAGGTTGGCAGTTTGGCAGTTCGAATCCCTATTGCCGTGTAACAGTGTAAGCTCCCATTACTTGTCCCAGCTTCTACCAACCTAGCAGTTTGACAGCATGTAAAAAATGCAAGTAGAAAAATAGGATCCACCTTTGGTGGGAAGGTAACAGCGTTCTGTGTGCCTTCAGTGTTTAGTCATGATGGCCACATGACCACGGAGACATCTTCGGACAGTGTTGGCTCTTCAGCTTTGAAACGGAGATTGAGCACCGCCCCCTAGAATCAGGAACGACTAGCACATATGTGCAAGGGGAACCTTTACCTTTATTCTACAAATCTATCGACTGAAGTTTGTAAACCCAATCCTACAGCTTCCCATGTTTCAAAAAGGCAGCCAATGATTAGCATATTCAACAGAATGTACTATCTTGGCCTAGACGTCTCCTATTTTCTGGGCAGGAGGACACATCTGGAATGAGGCAGCACATTGTGGGTATTTTTGCAATATGGCTGCTGGGTAATGGGACTTCGCAATCCTCCCCATGGCTGCCTTAACTGTTAACCGGAATTAACTATTTCCCAGAATGACACCTGTCGATCCCATTACAATTCTCTCTATATAGCAGTCTTCAAGGTTAGCTGTCTTGAGTAGACTAGACAGGAAACATGAACAGATGAGCTAATTCTCCTTTATTGTTAGGCTGCATTAACAAACTCTTGCAAATCTAAAGGTAGAAACGTCTCACTGCTACTTTTAACTGCCTGATCCATTAGCGCAGGCTTCTTAACTTTCTTCCTTTGACCGTTCCATTGGGGATTCCTCCCTCTTTTGTTCTGATTGTTTCCAAGGCAGCTTCTCTTTCCCTTGTTCCCCAAAGTCATCTACAGGAAAGAGATAATTGATTTATTCTCCTGAGTCTATGAGGCTGAATAGAGAACCAACGGTGGAAGTCTATTGAAATCATGGAGACTCCATCAGAAGTATTGGAGAAAAGCATGTGTTGGGATGGTCTAAGGCAGGGGTGTCCAAACTTGGGAACTTTAAGACTTGTGGACTTCAACTCCCAGAATTCCCCAGCCAACTTTGCTCCACAAGTCTTAAAGTTCCCAAGTTTGGACACCCCTGGTCTAAGGATTCCTGTCCTAGGACTCCATAATTTCTTCCTGGACTATCCATGCTGACAGTCCAGAAAAACATTTTTTTCCTTCCTTGCTTCCTTCCTTGCTTCCTTCCTTCCTTCCTTCCTTCCTTCCTTCCTTCCTTCCTTCCTTCCTTCCTTTCTCCATGCCCCTCCAAAAGAACACAGACAGAAATGCGATCACAGCCCCCAGATTTTCTCCCCCATTCAAAAAGGATGATTCAATTATCAATATTCAACTCCCGTTTGCCCACAGAATTCTACAGTAAACATCTGTGTGCGTCTTTTGCCATAATTAATCATAATTGCTGAAAGCAAGACACGTCACACTTGTAACTTTGGTCCTTTAATTAGGGTGGTATAATTGAGTACAGCTCTCCCTGTAAGTCCAATTAGTCAAGATTAAAACAGCTAGAGCTGCCATATTTCAACAACACGGGACAGGCACTGGCAGGAGGGTGGGCACAAAACATACTCAGGACAAGGGCCACTTCTTAGGATCTGAACAGTGAAACTCACCTGAATCCAGGTGCGATAGGATTGTTTTCTTCAAGTCCATTGGACAGAGTGAAGCAATCTTGCTTATATATTATTTGTGTGCTCATTTATTAGTCACCTAGCAATGTTTTATACAATATAGATGGCCATTTTTTTCAAGTAAAATATAATTAATCAATGAATGAATTAAATGACCCCTTATTTTTAGGAGGAAAGAGACATTTGCCAGATCTGAGTCCTCCACAGGGGGAACCGGCAAAGTGGTCATGGTGACTCATACCTTGGTCACTTCCCAATTGAACTATTGAAATGTTCCAGAATGCAGCAGAGTGGCTAGTTAAGGTGTACCTCCCAGTTTACCTGTATAATACCTCTTCTTTACAAGCTGCACCTCCTTCTAGGCTATTTGAGGGGGCCACCTTATCTCAAGAACTAATATCCACACAGGAAGCAAATCTCCAGCTTTTAAGTCTTGCCTTCATAATACTTAGGAAGTGTGCTTTTTCTGTGGCAGGATCTATCTCACCCCACCCCCCAGCTAAGTGGTCAACCAGCTAAATATGAGCCAGCAGTGTGCAATGGCAGCCAAAAAAGCCAATGCAATCCTAAATTGCATTAATAGAGGGATACAATCAACATCAAGGGAGGTACAAATACCACTCTATAGAACCCTAGTGAGACCACACTAGAGTACTGCATCCAGTCTGGTCACCACGCTATAAAGAAGATGTTGAGATTCTAGAAAAAGTGCAGAGAAGAGCAACCAGGATAATTAGGAGACTGGGGACTAAAACATATGAAGAATGTTTGCTAATCTAGTGAAGAGAAGGGCCAGGGGAGACAAGATAGCAATCTTCCAGTATTTGAGGGGCTGCCAGAGAGAGGAGGGGGTTAAGCTATTTTCCAAAGCACCTGAAGGCCAAACAAGGAATAATGGATGGAAANTATTAACACTTCATGTGATCTTAATTCTATCCCTCTGTTTATGCAGCCTAGAAATGTGTTGGCTTCTTTTTTTTGGCACTGATGCACTGATTCCACTTTGCTAGATTTCTCTAAGATTTTGTCTATTTGACAGTAATTATCGTAGAGAGCTGAGACTCTTGATTTCTCCCTTTTGGATTTGGCCCATCTGCAGAAATGCTTGTAGGATAGAGAAAAATTAACTGGAAGCTAAAGGGAACAACTTAGCCTGCCTCTGGAATCCTGGTTACACATATAAAATATCCTGCAACTAAAAATTGAGTGCATGGAGCTTTGTGTTCTCATATGACACATAATCAGTGGATGGAGGAGAACCTATATCTAGAGTAAAAATTATTATTTTTTGTTTGCTCTCTGCTCAACTGCCTGAATAGTTCTGGCAGGCTGCTAATGATTATAGGAACAAAACTTTGGTAGATTTAAAATAGGGCATGGCACAGAAACAAAAAACAGTTGAGGTTATGCAAGTTGTTTTTTCAACTTCTGTTCACAATTTGAGTTATTTTTAACTCTTTTGTTTCCCCCTCCAGAATGAAGTGGACTGGGGCCGTTCCAACTACATTCACATCAAGAGAATGAGAGAGGTGAATTTGATAATCTCTTTGCCTGTTTCACTGTTCTTCCCTTCCCATCATAAAAATAATTGCTTGGCCATCTCATTACATTTTTTTTGCAGCCCCCTAGTTGTATTGTTTGCAGCTTCCAGTTTACACTGCTGATATTTGGTAGTAGATGTGCCAAATTTTAGATAGGCTTTTTATTTTTGCAAAAAAAATTTCAGGGTAATAAAATTTTACTCCCGATGATTAGAAATATCCCCACTCCAAATAGGTTATAATTTTTAAAGCTTCATTTACCTATGATGCCACTTCACTTCATTTATATTCCATCTATTATTTTTTATAAATAATCCAACCTATCTAGTACTCCTTCCTCCCCACATTTTTCCCACACAAGACCGGAAAGGTAATATGGGCCGAGAGAAAAGAAACTGGCCCAAAGTCATCCGGCCAACTTTCATGCCTAGGCAAAACTAGAGCTGAACATCTACCTGGTGCCTTTAAGATGGAAACAAAAGACCTGGCTCTCCACATATGACTTAGAAAGGCAATCCAGATTAATCAAATCTGCATTCCCAGGATGATGTCTATATCACTGAAAAAGTATTAAAAATACTTTTAAAGTTTTATTTGAAGTAGGAATTTTCACATTAACTTTTGACAACAAACTGTTGTTTGACAACAAACTATGAATGATATAAGAGAGCTATGAATGATTCAAGGGTTTTTTTACAGGGTTTTTTAAATCAAATTTTATGGGGTGGGCGGGTTGATTCGGATGGCTCAGACAGACTTGGGGAGGAGTCTGCTAGGACACAGGCCAGAACTAACTAATGGGTGCAGGTTGGGAGTGCTAGAAAGGGTTGGGATTCCGGGGAAGACATTAAACCATTCCATTGAGAGGTTTGCCATCTCTACTGTATGTGGGAGGGGCAGATACAGTGGGGGGCCTAGGGCCAAATTATGTCCAAGGGACACGGGTTTGCTGTTTAAGAGCCATCTCGCGCTCCAATCCTCATTGCCCCTCTTGCACCCCTGGGTGCTCGGGATTACAGGACCCAGATCTCCGGCTGATATTGCTTAACGCCAGGTCTGTGGTACATAAGGCTCCCCTCATTTACGACCTCATACAAGAGGGGAGAGCGGACCTGGCATGCATTACAGAGATCTGTTTGGGCCATGAGGGGGGTGTTCACCTCATTGAATTATGCCCACCAGGCTTCTGTGTGTTTCACCAGCCGAGAACCTAGGGCAGGGGTGGGTGGCGGTGGTTATTAGGGAAAGTCTTGGACCTCAGGAGGTCACTGTTCCTCAGATAGGTGGGTGTGAGTCCCTTTTTGTGAAGTGGGCCTTTTTGTTACGTACCTGTCTTCCCTGCTACATTTCATTGGTCCTGCTGGAGCTGCTGGATGTATTAGCCGGATTGGCGGTTGATTTCCCCACGCTTATGGTCTTGGGGGATTTCAATCTGCCTTCCATTGGCGAGACATTTGAGTCAGCTCGGGAATTCATGGCTTCCATGACGGCTATGGACCTAACTCAGTTAATTCAAGACCCCACTCATAACGGGGAACACATGCTCAACCTGATTTTCATCTCTGGACAGTGGATGAATGATCTAGATTTAGGGGATATTTCTAGCCAACCCTTGTCATGGTTGGATCATTTCCTCCTTAGGCTTGACTTCCATACTGCCACCCTTCGCTGCAGGGAGGCGGAATCGATTAGATGGTTCCGCCCCAGGTGCCTGATGCACCCTGAAAGGTTCCTGATGGAGCTTGGGTCTTTTCCTGAATCCCTTGCTCACAGTTCGACAGAAGCCCTAGCAGAAGCCTGGGATAGGGCAGCTACTGGGGCTTTGGACCGCGTTGTGCCTTTGCGGCCTCTGACCCAGTGCCGATCCTGGGTAGCTCCCTGGTTTACTGAGGAGCTCTGGGAGATGAAACGCCAGAAAAGACGCCTAGAGAGTGATTGGAGGGCCAGCCGGTCCAAATCCGACCGAACACTAGTAAGAATTCATATTAAATCCTACTTAGTGGCAATAAAAGCGGAAAAAGGGCAACATTTTCCCACTATTATCGCGTCCGCAGATAATTGCCCAGCCGCCCTGTTTAGGGTGACCCGCTCCTTACTTAATCAAGGAACTGGGAAAGACCCCTTGCAGGGTATGGCTGAGGAATTTGTTCAGTATCTGCAGGATAAAATAGCTCAGATTCTGACAGGCTTGGACTCTGACTGGGTAGATTTGGGCGAGTCGACGGGGATGAATCTTGTGGAAACTATCTGGGATGAGTTTGACCCTGTGACTCCCGAGGGTATGGACAGGATTATGGAGAGACTCAGTGCTGCCACTTGTTTGCTGGACCTGTGTCCCTCTTGGTTAGTTTCGGCTTCCCGGGAGGTGACATGTGGCTGGCTCCAGACGATTACCAACACTTCATTGAGAGAGGGGTTCTTTCCCACTACCTTGAAGGAGGCGGTGGTGAAGCCTCTCCTTAAGAAGCCTTCCCTGGACCCAGCCTCTTTAAGCAACTATCACCCAGTCTCCAACCTTCACTTCGTAGTGAAGGTTGTTGAGTGCGTGGTAGCACGTCAGCTTCCCCAGTACCTGGACGAAGCTGCATATCTGGATCCATTTCAGTCGGGTTTCAGGCCTGGGTACAGCACGGAGACGGCATTGGTCATGTTGGTTGATGATCTCTGGCAGGCCCGAGACAGGGGTTGTTCCTCTGTCTTGGTCCTATTAGACCTCTCGGTGGCTTTTGATACCATCAACCATGGTATCCTACTGCGACAACCCGGGGGGTTGGGAGTGGGGGGCACCATTTTGCAGTGGTTCTCCTCCTACCTGTCAGATCGATTGCAGTTCGTGTTGACTGGAGGGCAGAGATTGACCCCGAGGCACCTCACTTGTGGGGTGCCCCACGGATTGGTTTTCTCACCTCTCCTGTTCAACATATACATGAAATCGCTGGGCGAGATCATCCGTGGTTTTGGGGTATGGTATCATCAATACGCTGATGATACAAAACTTTTCATCTCTACCCCAAACCATCCAAACAATGCCCTTGATGATGTTCCGATGCTTGAAGGCCACACGGATCTGAATGGGGATGAACAGGCTCAAGCTCAATCCCTCCAAGACTGAGTGGCTGTGGTTCCAGTCAACCCGATTTGTGCATCTTGTACCATC